GCGCGCAGGTGACCCCTCCCGGCCCTGCTGCCCGTCCCCGGGTCCCAGGCTGGTGGCTGCGCCTGATCCCTCTTCTCACCCCGATCTCTGTCCCTCGGGAGCTCAGGGCCCCAGAACCTGCCAGGGGGAGATTTGCCCACCATCTTGCTGCCCTTCTCCCCACGATAATGAATGGACAGTTCTGTGTCATCAGTGATGGGGACACATGATCATCAAGCTGGTGTCACCACATCTTGGTCGTGAGTTGGCAACTTGCATTCTCGGGGAACAATATGCACTTATGCAGAACATAAGCATATGCTAATGATGGGTAATTATACTCCATATTTATAGATTTACCAAAATATGTAAAACCCCCTCTGACAATCATACACCTACAGTCACATCACGATTTAATAACCGCACAGGAGGCTCCTGGCCGGCATTGCAACGTAAGCTGGGGCACCCGGTGTGGGACGAAACGTGCAGCCCAGCCCTGCTGGGGGGGCCTCGCTGTCCCCACTGCCGGCCCCCACTCAGGCCTGCACCCATCGCCGCCCTTCCAGCCTTCCTGGTCCTCCCGGCTTCCCAGAGAGATGGCCTAGTCTGTGGGGGACATCCAGGCAGAGTGAGCCGCACTCACCAGGGTGCTGGGGTGGGGGCGCTCAGCAAGGAGGCTGGAGGAGGTTGGGAGGGAGGGCCTCCCAGATAGGGTCAGGGGCTAGATCGAGAAAGGTGAGCTGCATTAGGGAGGGGTGAGGACGGGTGAGGAGGGTGAGGAGGGGTGAGGAGTAGCTTCTCTCTGTCCTCCTGTCCCCTCCGGCAGTGGAGTTGAGGGAATGAAATCCCAACTCCCAGGCTCTGGGCAGAGGCTGAGAACTGGGTGCTGGAGATAAGGAGGAGGGAGGCAGGGATGGGGGTGGGGGTGCCCAGGCCCGGGACCCTTAGGGGGATTTTCTGTCATCAGCGGGGGGGCTCTCCCAGGAGGACTCATTCCCTGAGACCCACCTCCTCCTGACTTCCTCAGTGGATGCGGCAGCAATGCGCATACTCGGGTGAACCACTAGGTGCAGGTCCCGTTGCTGCTAGTTAACCATGTTGACTTGTAAAACAGCCATTTCAATCGATCCAAAGTGCATTTTTGCCACCAGCCGG